CTGGAGTCAGACTGCCTGGGTCCCCTGCATCAGGACTCTGGGCAGATCCTAGCCTCCCAGAGCCTCAGCTCCCCAGAGCATCAACCCCGCTTATTTTAAGGGTTTAATGAGTGAATACATCTGAAGCACTCAGAAGAGGGCCTCGCAAAAGAGCCTAGCTGCAGCTGTTTTGATGATGATGATAAAAATGTGCACACACAGAGTTTGAGAGAAAATGTTTTCATTGTACCAGTGATCATTGTAAGAGAAAACTCTGTCCTTCTGCCCTTGGAAACTTATCTGAGGTAGGGACAGAGCCTTGCACACCAAGACAGCCATGGTAACGTTGTTGATCATCTAAACAATGAGGAATCCTAATGTCCAGCAGAAGAGTAACTGCTGTGCTTGTCCTGTCAACTGTGTAGCCATTACAGATGCTTGCAAATGGTTGTCAATAACAAAAATGCTTTTATTACCCTAAGAGGGGGTGGGAAAGATGAGCAGGGAAATGGATCTGCAGCAGGAGCTCAACTACCTGAATATCCACAGCAAAGGACAAGACCCAAGGAAACAGATCACATTCCAGCAGTGCTCATCTCTGGGCAGTGGCGTAATTGACAGGTCTCTTTTGTTGTTGAAGCATTCAACCTTCCTAAAATGAGTGTTACGCTCAAAATCAGAAAGTTATTAAGCTATATTGATATCTCTAGATAGTTGAATTACTTGATCTTCCAAAGCTCAGGAATTAGGTGCAGCGTTAAAATATTAAACCTTAATCCATTCAGCTATCCCCCCCACCCCCGTACATTTAAGCAAACATATGTTGAGGGCCTCTTCCTTCCTTCCTTCCTTGCTTCCTTTCCCATTACCTAAAACAGTGTACTAGGGTATAGTGGGGCGTGAAAAGATGAGCAAGGTACAGGTACAATCATCATAGAAATTTGGGGGTTGAGATGTAGTGGGTGTTTGCATCTACCAACAGCAGACATTTAGAAAATGAGTATTTCAGGCGCTACCATTTTACAACAGCATCAAAAAAACATCGGTTACCTACAAATAAATCTAGCAAAAGATGTGCCAGACCCTATCCAGCCAACAATGAGAGAAATGTAAATGTCATGATGTTACCTTATTGTAAAGATGTCAGTTCCCTCTATATTTAGCTAGAGATTTAGGGCAATCTTTTTTTTTAAGATTTTTTATTTATTTATTTATTTGACAGACGCTTAACGACTGAGCCATCCAGGCGCCCTGAGATTTAGGGCAATCTTAAAGGAAATCTTAGCAAGTAGTTTTGTGGAAGTTGAGAAGGGGATTTTAAAATTTATATGGAAATGTAAGGGGCCAAGAATAGCCAATACAATAATGAAAAAACAAAGGGAAAAAAGTTGGAGGACTTCCATTATCACATAGCAGGATTTATCGTAAAGCTGCAATAATCAGACACTGTGGTATCAGCACAAAGGTAAACGAATAGATCCGTGGAACTAGAGCATTCAGAAAGAGTTCCCACAAGTACAGTCATCTGATAAATGACAGGGGTGACATTAGAGTGCATTGGAGAGAGAACTGAGGACCTTTTCAGTAAATGACGCTGAGTCAACTAGATTTCCATATGGAAAAAATTAATTTTAGCCAATATCTTACACCATACACAGAAAAATCAGTTCCAGATGTATGCTAAGCCAAACTGCAAGGTAAAACAGAAACTTCACAGTAACAGGTGCTTGCTACCCTGCTGTTTCCTGCTCCCGTACCATCTCCCGTGATGGAGAACTGCCCATCCTCTGACTCATTGCACGACCCTGGGCCCCCAGCTCCTGGGATCTGTAAGGAATAAATCTTGTGACTCTACTTCCTTTGCATGGATGTGATGAAACTACACCTTCAATCAAAACGACCCCGTGGGTTTCACTTCCCCAAGGTGGGAGCGCCCGTACTCAGGGAAGCTACTTGCTGCCCCCATGTGGGTGCCTGGTGCCTGTTCATTCAACTGCATATCCTTAACAGCACACCAGCTCCGCTTCTCAACACAGAAGGCTTCACCAAGAGATGCCAAGAGTTAGAAGTCAGGGCTGGTCCTAAAGATTTTAAACCGTCCTATCCCTCTTGGGCATCTTCGGAGCCATAAAAGCCACTGCCTCTCCCATTGGGCCAGGAGTGTGTTAGTGGGATGCTGTGGATGATCTCCGCAGAGGGAAACGCCAGAGTGGGGAGGATCTGCCCTTCCCCCCGACGCTGCCCACAAAGCCTGTCCCAGCAGGGTGGGGGGCATACTGTGGGCCACATGCCGAGTGTCACTGGTGGCCATGGGGTGAGTGATGCAGCAATGCCGAAACCTTAGTGGGAGCTGGTTCAGAATGCACACTTGAGTCAGCTTCGGTGGGTGCGTCTGGGGTGGGGAGCTAGAATCTGCAACCGAAGGGGGATTCTGAGGTAGGGGGCCCTTGAAGCACAATTTGGAAAACTCCACTCTGAGCTTCTTGGGGAAAAATGCATAGGAGGGGAGGTGGAGGCAGAGATTCACGAGTGGGTCCTCCTGCATTTCATCCAGGGTGCTTCAGTGCTGTGGAGTCCCCTTCGCACAGGGGGAAACTGGCCTCCACGCCCACGTGCAGCCTTGCTGGTAGATTTGGGGCACAGGTGGTGGAGATTTCTGTATTTGGAGAGCTGTTCTAGTTACTGTGTGTTAGAAGTTGCATGCAATCTTTGATTCAGTGATTAAGTGACTCACTGTACGGTCTTTAAAATATAACAGCAACAATATTAAATAAAACCCAGTCCCCTAAAGCAGATTAGGCCTTACTGTTCCATCTGCAAGGTTCTACCTCTTTATAACCTACCCATTTTGGGGGATTTTCGATGGTAGGATCCTATCCCTCTGTCTTGCTCTCACCAGCCCCACCTCCAAACTGAAGGTAGCCATAAAAGAAGTCATAGGTGATTCTTCTTGAGTCAGTTCCTCTTGGTGTCCCCCTTTTCTTCCCAAACCATGACAGCTTAAGTCAGTCTGGGCCCTGGACATGCTGTCTTTTTATTTATTTTTTTTTAATTTTTTTTCAAGTTTTTATTTAAATTCCACTTAGTTGACAGTGTAATTAGTTTCAGGTGTAGAATTTAGTGATCGTGCTCATCACAAGTGCACTCCTTAATCCCCGTCACCTATTTCACCCATCCCCCCTTCTGGTAACCATCAGTGTGTTCTCTATAGTTAAGAGTGTTTCTTGGTTTGCCTCTCTTTTTTCCCCCATGTTTGTTTTGTTTCTTAAATTCCACATAGGAGTGAGATCATATGGTATTTGTCTTTCTCTGACTGACTTATTTCGCTTTGTGTTACATTCTCTAGCTCCATCCACATCAGATACAAAAATACTAACTCGAAGGGAGGGGGGCTTCTGGCTGGCGCAGTGGTAGTGAGATTCTTGATCTCAGGGTTGTGTGTTTGAACCCCACGTTGGGTGTAGAAATTACTTAGAAATAAAATCTTAAAAAAAAAATTGAGGGACAACCCTGAGGGAGAGGAGGGAGCGCCTTTGGGAGCCAGGAGGCAGGTGTGTCAGCATCTTCAAGTCTTCTTGGAAGGGATACATGCACCCCGATGTTTATAGCAGCATTATCAACAATGGGCAAATTATGGAAAAGAGCTCAGCTGCCCGTCGCTAGATGAAAGGGTAAAGAAGATGTGGTATATATATATACAATGGAACATGACTCAGCCATAGAAAAGAGTGAAGTCTTGCCCTTTGCAACAATGCTCTTAAAGCTGTGCAGGTGGCACTCCCAGGGCATCTGGCCAGGTGCTAGTCCCCACATCGCCCAGGACTGGCCTCAGTGATTCTTCTGGTTGCCCTGACCACCGGTAGAGGCCTGAGGATGGGAGTGGGTCTACCTGCCTCTACCCCAGCGGCAGGCACAGGTCTGGGGCAGCAGAGGCCTTCCAGGAACACTTGGGTGGGTGAAGCTCAGGGCCATAGCCTCCCAGACACCCCCCTACAGCGGGTACCCAGCAAATGAGGTCAGTGCCTTGAACTACAAGCCACCCACTTCATTTGAGCTGTGAGTTCTGATGGGCATTCCATTTTTTTTTTATGATTTATTTACTTGAGAGAGAGAGCGGGTGCATGCACGGGGTGGGGGGCAGAGGGAGAGGGAAAGAGAGTCTTAAGCAGACCCCACGCTGAGCGCAGAGTCGGGCACAGGGCTCAATCTCAGAATCCTGAGATCATGACCTGAGCTGAAACCAAGAGTCAGATGCTTAACCGACTGCATCACCCAGGTACCCATTTTTTTTTGTTTTTAAAGATTTTATGTAAGAGAGAGAGAGTGAGACAGAGAGCGAGCATGCAAGTGGGGGAGGAGCAGAGGGAGAGGGCCATTTTCTGTCTTTGAGCAGGGAGCCCCAACTCAGGGTTCGATCCCACAACCCTGAGATCATGACCTGAGCTGAAATCAAGAGTTGGACGCTTAACCAACTGAGCCACCCAGGCGCCCCCCAAGGGTAGTCTTGATTGTACGTGATATTTGCCCCAGGGACTGGCTTTGGGATCTCCCCTCCCTAATCTGGGGCTCTTCTTCTAAAGCTCTGCATCAGCCTGGGCTGAGGGTTTTTATGCTAGATGCTCGGCCTGGGCCATGTGCTTCCATTTGCTTCAGCAGCATCATGATCACCCGGGGGTTGAAAAGGCCCGTGAGTCCCGCTGCTTCTGAGTCTCCAGCTGGGCTCCAGTAGCCCCACTTTATCCGGCTTTCCAGGTGATTCTCGTGCACACGGGAGTTTGAGGACGGCCGTTTTCAAGAGCTCGATGATTCTCTTGTGTCTGTTTGGGTTGGCATGTTTCCGGTTAACACTTTACAGCATTGCCTGCCATTTTTCTTGGGTGGTGAGTTGCTTCTCCGAATGGGAGTTGAGCTAACCGCATCTGAAAAAGCACAGCCACATTATCCCCAGAATGTCACTAGTGGTCATTGAACCTGGCATATATTTCAGTTGGTAACCCGTCATTTTCTTTCCTTTCTGTCAGGTATCTGTACCACGTCTTGACCAAAAACACCACAGTCACAGAACAGAACCGGAACCTGCTAGTGGAGACCATCCGTTCCATCACTGAGATCCTGATTTGGGGAGATCAGAATGACAGCTCTGTATTTGAGTAAGGGTTTCCCAATGTTTTTTGTTTTTGGACTCTCCTTCCTTTGAATATTATTCTGAATGTATGCCATGAGTCATTCCTGATGATGTCAGGATTTGACACCCATTTGGGTCTTGTGCAGATCTCAATCTGTATCTCTATCTATATAAAATGTCCTTGAAACACTGGAGAAACGTAAGCTGACAGTGGGAACGTCAGGGAAATGAGTGTCTCTCGAAAAATCTGGAAACATGATAGACAATTTTCCAAATAGTGTCTGACAATCTCCCCGAAGGAAGGAGAAAATGTCCTGGGAAGTGAGCTTCTAAGTGAACTGAAGGGACCTTGCCCTGGGGAGACACGAAGAGCTCATCTTTGTTGTGTTTACTGCTGGGTAGGCGCAGTGCTGAGCTCTCGATGAGATAATCTAAGTCTCCCAGCTGCCCCAGGGTGGAGGCCCTCCTGTCATGAGCATCGCCATTTATGCTCAGGGTCACACAGCTGGTAAGCGGTGAAGGGGCTTCTCCTCATTCATGGACAGCCTCAGTTTCCTCATTTTTTTAAGGGGGGAGGGGCAGAGAGAGTCTTAAGCAGGCTCCACAGCCAGCACGGAGCCCCAGTGCAGGGCTCCATCTCATGACCTTGAGATCATGACCTGAGCGGGAATCAAGAGTCGGATGCCCAGCCGAGTGAGCTGCCCAGGAGCCCCTCCTCATCTTTAGAGAGAAAGTTCCTGCCCAGCACCTGGTACAGAGTAGGCACTCAAGAACTGTTAGCACATGATCATTTGTAAAGACGTCCCTCCTGGACGGTTAGAAAGCAAAGACTGGAAGCTGTGGGCAGCTTCCCCAGTAGGCCTGTCTCCGAGTCTGAATGCAGAGGGATCTGGCTTATGACAGCCACCAAACACAGATTTTATTTTTATATGAAATATTCTCAACTCTAAGTATGGAGGCCACTTAAAAAACCCATTTAAAACAAATAAAGGTGTTCCGTTTCCAGCCTGGCTTCTTCTTAGATATTCTGATTTTCCAGATAGCTCTCTGTTTTTATCAGTAGGGTTACCTAAGATAAAGCTATTTGTGGAAATGCAAACCTGTGACACTGGCCTTTTCCCCAAAGGAAAACATGAGTAAAGGGGAGGTGTTGTCTGCAAACGGGGCTGGCATCCTTTGAGGATGCACAGGGAATCGATCGGTTGGTTGGTGTCCGTTTTGAAAATGTGAATGACCTTTGGGTTAAAGGTTAGAAACTGTGTCCCCCTTGACTAGAGTAGACTTTCTGAGCCCATCTGTTGTCTCAGAAAAACTGCTGAGCCCTTAGAGGCCCAGCGATTCCTAAATGGCTCCCCAGGAGAATTTATTTTTAATCTTTCAGAATAATTTTAGATTTATAGAAAAGTTGCAAGGATGGTACAGAAAGTTCCCAAACACCCCTCACCCTATCTCCTGCACTGTTAATATCTTATCTGACTAGGGTGCATTTGTGGAAACAGAAGCTAACCCTAGTACGTTAGTGTTAAGTAAACTCCAGACTTGATTTGGATTTTGCCAGTTTTTCCATGAAGATCCCCTTGCTGCTCTAGGAACACAGCCCAGGCTCCCACAGTGCATTTAGTTGTCATGTTGACCCAGCCTCCTCTGAGCTGTGACAAATTTTCAGTCTTGTTTTCCTGACCTTGATGGCTTTGAGAGGTACTGGCCAAGGGTCCTGTAGAATGCCCTCTACCCCTGTCTGGGTTTCTGTGATGTCTTTCTCATGATTAGCCTGGGGGTTATGGGGAAGAAGACCACGGTGCGCTTCTCATCCCACAATATCAGCAGTCACGATATCCACCTGCTCTCTGGTGAGGTTAATCTGATCGCTTGCTTAAGGTGGTGTCGGCCAGGTTTTTCTACCATAAAGCTATTCTTCTCCCCTTTTCCTACACTGTTCTTTGAAAGAGAGTTGCTCCATTTAGCCCACGTGGGGACGTGGGAATTTAGCTCCACCTTCTGGAAGTGGGGGGTGAGTTTCTGCATACATTATTTGAAATTCTTCTGCATGGAAGACTTGTCTCTTCTTCCCGTTTATTTATTCAGTGATTTATTTATATCAAGATGGGCTCGTGGATGTTTATTATATACTTTGGATTAAAGTATACTGTGTCCAGTACTGTTACTAAATGCTGTGTTACTAATACTAATTAAAACGCAATACTGCATTATTGGATTAAAGTAGACTTTGGATCCAATACCGTGTTATTTTTTGTGTTGCTCCAGGTCCAGCTTTGGGAACTGAGGGCTCTTTCAGGTTTGGGTCCCATGTCCCTTGACACACCCCGTCCTTCTGGTTTTTTTGAGCACTTCCTTACTTCCCTGTACTCTAAGATGCTGCAGGCTCATCTTGTATTTTCCCTGCCCCAGATCTAGAATTAGCCATTTTTCTAAGGAACCCCTCCCTCCCCTAGGGAGTTTTAAAAATTCAGGCTCCTGGATTTCATGCTAGACCTGCAGAATCTGTCCCTGGGCCAGGTCTAGGTGCAGACATTTTAACAAGTTCCCAAGTTGGTCATGGTGCTGCTGTGAGCTTGTTGGGGATGCTTGGGAGTCACTGATGACTTCAACCTGAAGCAAAGGAAGACAAAATAGGCCAAATGATAGAGATATTCTGGGGATCAACGTGCATGGCATTTGTAGGCAGACAGGCTCCCAGAATCAGAATTGGAAAAGGTTTGATTTTGTTTTTCTGGTTTGCTTATTCGTTTACCTCTTAATGAATTCAAACAGAAGTTATGCAGCACTGAGCAAGAGCCAGGCCCATGATCCTGCCACCATGGAGCTGACAGCCAAGGGGAGAGAGACCCCCAGAACCAAGTGACAGACACTCGTGACTGCGGGGACCTGTCTGAGTCACCCAGAGGAGCGGTTACTACCTGGTCTTAGCTTGCATACAGAGAACACATAACTAGAAACACCATTTTCTGCCCTTCAAGAAAGGCATCAGGGGATCCTGTCCCCATTGTAAGACTAAAAGAGCCAGCGTGTACCCCAAAAGTCCACGTTCCCAGGCTGCATGTAGACAGATGTCCTGTCTAGAACAAGAAAGGCAAAAGCTGACCTGGGGGCTAGGTAGCCCCCCTCCCCCATCAGCCCCTTCAATCCCTTCCAGTTCTTTCCCCCCAGATTTGGAAACTTTTACTAGCATTATCTTGCCCCTTTGTAGGGAATTCCAGGTGGTGCTGCTTAACACGCAAAGATACCAAAGCAAAGGAAAGAGGCCTAGTAAGGAAAACTAAGGATAGAGAGTATTAGATGGGAAAAGCTGCCTGGTGGGTTTTTCAGCACCGGTAGATTACTGTGTAATCACAGTGCGTTAAGATCTTCCCCATTCTGCTTCCCAGGATCAGCACTGTGCTCACATTCTGGGGAGAGAGCGCAAGAGGCCACATTTTGCTGTGGTGGAGGACGGCGTCCGCGGGGAAGCCGGGGCCTTGCAGGCGGGGTGATCCAGCTGTTCTGCAGATGCCTTTGGGGGTCGGGGGCTGTCCACACCCGTGTGCTGTGCACGTAGCCACCGGATGATTTGTATTTCCACGTGTAGAAGCAAACCACTGATGATTTTCCATTCTCTCCCCAGCTTCTTCCTGGAGAAGAACATGTTTGTTTTCTTCTTGAACATCCTGCGGCAGAAGTCAGGCCGCTACGTGTGCGTTCAGCTGCTGCAGACCTTGAACATCCTCTTTGAGAATATCAGTCACGAGACCTCACTTTGTAAGGACAATCCTTGACACTTGCCTCCTCACCACTGAGCTTTGGTAGCACGTAGCTTGGCGTGGTTTTCTTGTTGCTTTTGCATGTCTGTGCTTAACATTGTGTCTTTGTGTGCTTGGGCTGCTGTAACAGAAGGCCCTGGATTGGGGGTTGAGAGCACAGAGATCTGTTTTCTCATAGTTCTGGAGGTTTGAAGTCCAAGAACAAGGCGCCATCAGGGGTAGTTTCTGGTGAGGTCTTTCGTTCTGGTTTGTAGATGACCGTCTTCTTGTTGCTTCTGGTGTGGCCTTAGTTTTTGTGTGTGTGCATGCGTGCACGTGGAGAGAGAGTTCTGGTGTCTTCTTAGAAGGACACCAGTTTTTTTTTGATCGGGGCCCACCCTAGGACCTTGTTTAACCTTAATTACCTCCTTAAAGCATCTGTGTATATTGTAGTCACAGTGGGGGTTAGGGCTTCCTGGTGTGAGTGGTGGTATCATGCAGTTCGGTCCATAACACCAAGTTTATCCCCGTGTGGTATGGTACCGTGAAGGGCTGAGAGGGCTCCCCTCTGCTCAGTGATTCTGGGCTGTTCCCATTTTTTTCTTTATAACTTGTTGGGGTCGCTGAATCATCAGCCAATGGAATAAAGGCTAGAAGCAGCAAGGTGAGGAAGAATGGCCCAGGAGTGTGCAAGGTGTGGGCTCTGGCAGCTGACTTGCCTGCCTAGGATGCAAGGGTGCGGCTCGGAGCTGCTTCTCTGCCCTCACTAAGCCCGGGCTCTACATCTGAAACAACCACCCTGTGAGGGCCGTGCCCTCACTTAGTGCCCAGGGATTTCCAGTCGGCAGCCCGTGGTGACAGCTCTAGCAAGGCCAGAATCCAGAAGGGGCTTCGGCCTAGCCGAGTTAGTTCAGGGGTCCACAGCTGGGGGTGATTGTGCCCCTGGAGGGCATTTGTCAGTGCCTGCGGACATTCTCGGTTGTGGTCGTGGGTGGGGGGTGGGGTGTTGTTGGCATCTGGTGGGTAGAGCCCAGGGGTGCTAAACATCAAACAACACAGTAAAGGATTATCTAGCCCAAATTGTCAGCAGATCCGAGGGCAAGAAACCGGGTTTAGCTTCTCTTCCTGCGTGCTTGACCTCTAGCTTTATTACTCTAAGACAACTACAGCAGGCCCTGCCTGCCAGAAGCAGGGAAGAGAAGACAAGTGGCTGAATGTCTGTGTCAAAGGCAGGCTCTAGGTCCCCAAGACGGGTTTAGAAAAAGTTTCTGGTGGGTGGAAGGAGGTAGAGGTGGTGGCATTCCCCCTCAAGAGGAAGCAGGGAGAGGCCCAGGCCTGGCTGTGCATGGTGGCTCTGGGAAGCAGCCACTAGGTGGTGCTGCCGTCCCAGGAGTCTCTGCTCACACTTCCCGACGAATATGAGTTGACACATATGAGTTGACTCACTCTCCCTAAGTGGTTTCCCGTGTTAACAGCTTTTGTTACCCTGGATATGAATTGTGTGCGGTTTCTGAAAACTCCGAGCGGGGAAGACCCGGCTCGGGGGTGCAGGCTCTGGACTGTGACCCACCAGGTCCCAGGCCCGGCTCTGCCACGTTGGCCTTGCATGGGCTCCAGGGGTGGACTCTCCGCTCCCCGCTGCGGTTTCTGCTTCTGTGAAGTGGAGAGGATACTCGTATCTGGGGAATAGAGTGGTCTGAGGATTAAGTGTGACAGCAGATGTGCAGAACGGAGCCTGGGGTCTGGCAGATGGAGGCGTCCACTGGAGCTGCTTTCATCGTTAAATCCAGCGTTCCCCCAAATGTCTGTTCTCGGGTAATCCGGCCTAAGCCCAGCTAGCCACGGTAGTTGGGATGGTAGAAAATGCTGGAGTTTCTGGATCACATGGCTTTTCTTGAATTAGGACTGAAAAGGGGGCCATGCTATGAGAAACGCAGGCAGACGCCACTGTCTTTAGGAAGAACTCACCAGAGAGCTTTTTATAAGCCCTGCAGAAGGGGCAGACATCACCACCTTTTACAGCACTTCGATTTGGGGGTAGGGGGAGGAGGACACGTGACTTTGGCTCTCATTTTTATTTTCCATTCATAGGAAGGAAACGTCCTTATTCTGAAACAACAGCACCAAAAACCAAACAGCATGAGAATATAGAAAGCAAAAGTTCTGCAGAGTCTCTCCCTCACGGTCCAGTGGACACATAGCATTTTGCCATTTGTTTTCTGTTTTCCGACTTCCTGCCGTATCTCAGATCTTCATGCAGCCTGTTCACGTGCCCCCACCTAGTGTGGCTCCAGAGCTGCGTCTTGCTGAGCCCTGAGCTCTTCAACCTGCCCACGGTCATCGAGGTGCTTTCCGGGTTTTCACTATTACCAGCAGCCATTTCACAAGTGCACCTGTCGCCTGTCGGGTTCAGTGACCTAAGTCACAGAGGGCCCGAGAGACTGAGATTACTTAGAGACTCCTGGGTTGAGAAAAGGATACCACAGAAAGTCGGCCACCTAGTGAGGGGGTAGTAGAAAAATCCCAGCCGAATAATAGAGACACCTCGGCTGCCCCCACGGTGGCCCTCACCACCCACAGAGTTCATCCTGTGGAGGCCCTGGAAAAGTCCCCGCTGGGGAATGATGGGAGCATGTGGCTTTTCCAGCTCAAGAGTGCAGCCGAGAGGCCGTGGTTGTATGTCTGAAGTGCCGGCAGCGGCGTCCGTGCCCCTACTGGCCCGGAAGCCGCCGGCCAGTCACAGTGGGGCTCCCCGTGACATCTCCGTAGTCCGTTCTCCTGCCAGCTCATTCATCTCCAGCCACAGCCAGGACAATGGGGAAGAAGGGCTCTAGGCCTCAGCATCACCTGGGCTGCTTGTTACAAGTTAAGATTCTAGGCGTGTAGGTTGTGGACTGTGCACAGAATAGAGCACTACATCGCAAAATGGAGGAAAGGAGTGGATTCTTGCCACTGCGTGCGGCAACTCGGATACCTCTCAGATATGGTGACCGGTGACAGGCCAGACATGAGAAGCGTGTCGTGTGGTCCATGGATATGAAGCTCTAGAACAGGCAATACGAGTCTGTGTGCTTCAAGTCAAACCAGGGCTTATTGTTGGGGAGAGGGGGTTGACTGGGCAGGGCTGTCAGGGAGCCTTCTGCGGAGCTAGAGGTATGTTCTGTCTGATCTGGATGGTCCTTACGTAGTGTATATGTTTGCAAAAATTCATCCAGCTGGACACCCGAGATTTGTGGTGTGTATATGTATATACCCGTGTGTGTGTATATATGTGTGTATACACTATATATATACATATAAATACATAGGTATCTGGATTTAAGATTCACCTGTATGTAAATTTCCACATATATCAAGCTGTGCACTTAAGAGTTATGATATGTGTAATGTCATTTTTAAACAAGTCAATTAAGATTCTTAGGACCCCCCGCCGGGACCCACTGCCTCCTCTCTTGGAGCTTCAGGATTTGCCTCAGGAATTGTTAGAGTCAGGAGGTACAGAAAACTGTGCTAAGACTACAGACTGCAGGGCCTGTCTATAAAGCCAAGAACACCCAGGAGGCTTTTCTGAGGGCAGTGGCTTTCCTGGAGAGCTGGCTTCTGAGGAGAACCCAGCAGTGGGCCCTGCCATGGTCCCTCTCGCCGCCCCGGGCTCCTGGATGGCTCTTTGGCATGCGTTTGATGTCAGCCTTTCTAGTCGTACTTTGGTTTAGGTTGGGTACCTCTTTGGCACGAAATAACGGTCTGTTTCCTGTTCCCTCCCAAGACCAACTGTGTTCAGTCCTGGTGGCTGGAGGGTCAGTGGGGTCTCTGGGGTCTCCGTGTAATAGCACTAAGAGACATGGTAGCTGCCATTACTGCATGCTTGCTTTGTGCCCCTCACTGTCCATAGTGCTTCGTCTGCTTTAATCCTCACAGCAGACCCCTGGGGAAGGTACTGTTATTCCTGTTTTTAGACAAGGAAACTGGAGAGTGGGGAGGGTAAGCGGCTTTCCCAGGGTCACCCAGCTAGAAGTGGCAGGGGCAGTGTGGATCCAAGTCCCCTTCGAACGCAAGGCTTCTGAAATACGAGCAGGGCTCCTTAACACGCCCAGTGTACCTTGTCCACCCCAGAGATCTGAGTCGGTGGGCAGGGCTGGGGCCCAAGATTCTGTGTGTCTGATGAGCTCCAGGTGATGCTGGGCTGTGGGGTCTGAGGACCAGATTTTGAGTAGCCAGGTTCCCAACCATTGAGCTTTACTGCCTTACCACATCTGCCTGCAGGTGTGGGTGTTGATCCCATTCTGCCTTTAACTATTGGGGGGCGGCGGTGGGATGGTGCAGCATTCACAGACTGGCTGCCCACAGGACACACAGTGGGGGTGGCAGCACCCGCTTTGCAGGGTGGCTGGGGAGGACTCAGAGATTTGCGTGGACAAGGACCCAAGGCCGGGGTTGTGAACTGCAGGCCCACAGGCTGCAGCTGACCTGTAGACCTATTTCTGCCTGCCAGTCCAGCATGAAGAACTAGCTGGTCCTGTGGCCACCATTGCAGAGTCAGGGGCAGCCTTCAGATGTTTTCCAGCTTCCCTCACACAGTTGGAGGCTCCCCTGGTGCTGGGCCTGCATTTCTGCAGGGGCTGGGGGTTTGGACGAGGGTGGCCGTTCTGCAGTTGACCCCCGTGCCTCGGGCCCTTGCCACCCAGTCTTCATTATTCATCCCCATTAGTGCATGACATTGACACAAACTTTGACCTAGGACCTGACTTCCAATTCCATCTCTGGGACTAACGGTCTCTGTGACGTCTGGAAAGTTAATCAACCTCTGAATTTTTTTTTTTTTTTTTAATTCTCTGCAAAATGGGGAGAACAAGACCTGCTGGGCCGGATTGGATCGTTGTGGTGATAATGTAAAGCACTCAGCCTGGTGCTGGGCGTGTAGTGGAGGGTTCGGCATGAAGTAGCTTTTAGGAAATCATGTTGCTCTATGGGGAGAAAAAAACCACACAGCCCTTTGTCGCATTCAGGGATGGCAGTGTGACTCTTGATGGCAACATGGAGCAGCTTTTAATAAAATACAGTGCTTTTTCCCCTCATGTGTGGGTGGTTTGTGAAAATGCCCACACACCAGCACATCTGCCCCACCCCCAGCTCTATGTTGAACTTTGCCAGCAAGGAAAAAAACGTTCAGACGTTTTTTCTATTTGGTGTAGGAGGGAGGGGTAGCCCGGGCCTTTCTCTCTCATGGCTCTTGAACTTTCTGGAGGTTGCACATAGTGGCTGCCTGATTTCTGTGTTGGCTGAAGATGAAGCTGCTCCCTGTTGGCCTTTTAAACCCCAGCGACCCAGAAGCTTGATGGGTTCGAGCACATTCAGAGTCCTCTGTTACCTGACTTTGTCTGCTTGGCTTTCCTCCGGCACGAATTAACCCATCTGTTTTGTGTTTTTTTTTTTTTTCTCCCTCTAGATTATTTGCTCTCTAATAACTATGTAAATTCTATCATTGTCCATAAGTTTGACTTTTCCGATGAGGAGATTATGGCATATTATATATCGTTCCTGAAAACACTTTCGTTAAAACTCAACAACCACACCGTCCATTTCTTTTACAACGAGGTAAGTAAGTGCCAGAGGGGTACGTACATTGGGGCGGAAAGCTAGCCGGTCAGAAGAGCACCTTCAGGCCGGGTGGCCTCGTATCTGTTGACAAAGTACTTGCATGCTCACCCTTACCTGATTTTCATAGCAACACTGTCAGACCTTGACCTGCTTTTAAAAAGAAGTTGGTTGTTTTTTGTTTTTGTTTTTGTTTTTTTAATTTGTAAGTCACCTCTCTGTTTCTAATGTAAAATTCAGTTTGTGCTACCTGAGAGCATTGCCTTCTCGGCAGGGAGAAGTGCCTGAAGGTTAACTCGGGGTTGTGCTGCCCTGTGGGAAAAGCCGGCACTGTGGTTCGCCCCGGCTTTGCCACTTCCCTGCTGCATGACCTCAGAGACTTCTCCGTCCTCTGAGCCTCAGTCTTCTCATCTGGGAATAGGGATGAAGATCTACACCTAGCAGGATTTTCCAGGGGTTGAATTAAATGAGATGATGTCTTCAAAGCCCCTAGTACATACCTGGCTCCTTAAAATCACAGCCATTGCTGTCCTTCACTAACGTCCCTGGTATTTCTTGGGAGAATTACTAGCAATTTTAGTAAATAAGTTGCTGCTGTTTTCACGGTGAAAAGGAACTTGAGAAGCTCAGTTTATCTCACATACCAGAAGGTACCGATGTCGGCTCTCCTGGGCCGGTTCATCCTGTGGCTCCGCCGCTTCATTGAGGATGCAGGCTTTTTCATCTGTCTGCTCCGCTGACCATATAGTTGGCAACTGTCCTCAGGCTCAACCCCTCATGGTCTCAGGATGGCTGCAGCAGCTCCAAACATCACATATTCATGCGCCACTGCCGAAAAGCCTGAAGAGATCACTTCCCTTCTTGTGTTCCTTTCTAACTTCCAAAAACACTTCTTTCCCAGAAGCCCCCCAGCAGACTTCCTCATGTGTCTTCCTGGTCAGAATCGTGCCACATCTCCCTCACTGGGTGTCGGGAATTTGGGAGCAGCCTCACAGGGCAGCTCTGCTTGGTCTTTCACGAGGCTAGATGTGAAGGCTGGATCGGGTTCAGGGGATCTGCTTCCAAGGCGGCTCACTCTTGCGGCATACCAGTCAGTGCTGGCCTTTGGCAGGAGGCCTCGGTTCCGTAGGCTTCTCCCGTGGCTGCTTGAGTGTCTTCATGGCATGGCAGCTGGCTTTCCCCAGAGCAAGCGACCCAAGAGACCAAGACGAGCTGCAGTGCCTTTTGTGACCCAGCCTCAGAGGACACACACCGTCTTTCCCACCATGTTATTTAGGTCACACGGGTGGGCCCTGACCCAGTGTGGGAGAGCATGATAGCACGTGAATACAGGCAGTGATGGTCACTGGGCCGTCCTGGAGGTGGGCTACCACACAGCCATGTGCTATCTGCTTCTTTCTAGAATCAGACCGCCCTCTCAAACATACCTTCTGAGTGTGGGCAAAATCCATCTAGCTGTCCCCATGGGATGCAGCAAGAACAGCCTGAACCTTGATTTTCCATGTCTAGATTAGGAGTGGGGAAGAACTGGTCTCAGGGGGAAGAAACATTAGTTGTCAACCACAGCCACAAAATGTATGGCAGTTTGAAAAATTAACATTGTGTGGCCCAGTATCTGGCAGATGGTAGGTGCTCGTTCACCATGTCCAGAGACACGTAGATGATCTTTGCATCGTGCCAGAGACTCCCCGGGTGGGTGAAATTCAGGCCAGAGAGAGGTACCTCCACTCAGGTGCAGCTGGGCTTGTGTACCCCAGGATGGGAGGGCAGGACCCTGCGATTCTGGGACCAGAGCAATGCTTCTGGAAGAACATCCTGCTGGTCACCAGGGGAGGTGAGCTCAATTTCCTCTTGCATGTGGGCCAGTGTTGTAGCTACCACTTGCCAAGGGTACACGTCTCGTGCTCAAAGTGGCATTGCCCCCATTAGACAGTTGTCACCGTGCTCTAGGCTGGCTGTTGCCTCTTCCCCACGCCCTCACTGCCCACGGGTGCCCTTGGAGCGGGGATGCAGAGCCATGTGGGACACTGGCCAGGAGAGGGCAGCAGAGCTTGCCCCGCACAGCTCTAGGCCCAGATCCAGGCCCCAGCAGTGCAGTTCTATGCTTCGGAACTGCTTTGATCCCTTCTGATGGTATCTTTTTAATGCCAGCAGGTTCCCCAACCCCTCCTCCTCCATGGTAATGTGTCTACTTTTAGTATTTCTAAGTAGAGAAATGTGTCCTAGCCAGAAGAGAATGCCGTAAAACTTCACACTTGCCTTTCGTTAGTTGAAGTGGCCTCTGAGAGTAACGATCGGCCTCACTGCTGATGCTTGTTAGGTGGGAGGTCCGGTGGTAGGCCCCGGCCCCTGAAATCACCTCAGTGACTCCTAGCAGCTGCGAAGTGGGAGTTGTGATCCCCATTTTATAGACGAAGGCACAGAGGCTTAGGAATATTATAGCAGGCAGCTGCGAAGTGGTAAGACAGATCACAAGCCCAGGTCTGGCATTGTCGGGACCCTTTTCTATTTGTTCTGGGACGGTCTCGCCTCCCCATTCCTTCCCACATTCCCCACTGGGAATGAACCACTGGCTTGAGTTTCATGGGGGATAATGGTTTTTTCCGCTTTTATGGTTGTTTGATACGATTCGGAAAGCTGGGTGGGAGGAGGCCTGCCCTATGGGTTTGTAACTCGTTTTCGGTACTTCTTTTGTTTTAGCACACTAATGACTTTGCCCTGTACACAGAAGCCATCAAGTTTTTCAATCACCCTGAAAGCATGGTTAGAATTGCTGTAAGAACCATAACTTTGAACGTCTACAAAGGTAAGCTTCCCTAGGCACTCAGGCCTTGTCTGATTTCTAACCTGACGGCTGGGGCTTGCTCTCTTGAGTCTGTATACACAGCTCTCCGGTGGGGACAGGGGGCTCCTGTATGACAGCTGGGGTTGCATGTCTCATGAAAGGCTCGTAGTCATGGAACATTTAACAGGCCCCTTGTGTGAAGTTTTGTGCCACTTCTCTCGCGTGCGCTCAGTTCTATATGTTGAAGTCTCCGTACAGACACACGGTAGTAGTAACGTCCTAAGAAAGGCACGTGTGGGACTCCAAGCAGCCATGTGATACTTAGATAAAGCGGAGTTGTCTTTTGAATGTTATATTTACATTTTTGTGTTTCAGGCTGTAAACTGTACTTAAGTACAGCCTGGGGTTATGGGATCTTTGAATAATGTATAGAAGCATTTGATGTCACAAACGGCAGGGGGCAGCATTGTATTCTCAACTGACTGCAAAGCCCAACAAATTTGCCTTTTGTCAAGATGTACTTAATGCCCAAAACGTCGCCTCTGGGAGAAAGCCCTTCCACGGGTTCCTGCCCGCCTTGGCACAAAGTCTGGCTGGACACAAGTTTCCTCGCCTGGAACTGCCCCCTGAGGGCACATCTTCTCTGCCTGACACTGGGATTATTCACCCTGGAGTCACCACACTGGAGCTGGGACTCCATATTCTCAAGGACTAAAGGGCTTTGACCTTCACGAGTTTTGAGTTATGATGTTATTACTTGAGATGACCCCTAATTGGGGGTGGGAGGAGCTCCTCAGGGACTCACTCCAGCCTCATTGTGGGATTGCTCTAAATTGAAGAGCCTAAGAGCTGGGTGGGTCCCCCCTCCAGGGTCCCAAATGGAGAGTCGGAGAGCTGGATCCAGCCCTCAGACGTGTTTTGATTGGCTTAGGTATTCCTTGAAAAGATACATAGTTGCCAGTATTTAAACACGGGGAGATCTTGGGTCACTCTGTGTTTTTCTGACTTGAAAGTAGAGACTTGGCTGCTCTGGGCCCACGGTCTTGTAGGGCAGTGGTGAGTGGGCACTGAGAAGCAGTGCCTCTCCCTGGGGTTGAGGCCCGGGCTCCCTAGTTCACAGGCTGGGTCTCCCAGCCTCACTCACTGAGTCAGCCCACCCAGCAGGCTGCTGAGTTTGTGCCCTGGTCTGAGGCCCAGTTCTGCCGCCCCTGCTCTCTCCTCTCTCTTGTTCTCTTCCAGCCCATATCTTTAGATGCCTCCTGCCCTAGCCCTCTGTCCCTCTGAGCAACTGTCTCACCATCCCAGTTCCTAACCCTGTTAACTGTTGTCTGTTTTTTGCCTTTCCTTCAATGACGATTCCCGTGTTCCTTATTCCAGTGTCATGTAAGTTATTAACTTCTGGTTTTCTGCTTTCTTAACTTATCCTTACATGTAATATACAGGAAACTTGCCTAATAATGGCATGGTTTCCATTGTAGTCAAGCTAAATGCATTGCTGAGAAGTAGGCTTTCTGACTGCACTATTAATGTTTAGCCCAATTAATTCATTTTATTAACTCTAAAAATAGCGTAAGAACTGCCTTGATGTGTATGGTTTCATGAATAAGATAACCATTTTTCTAGTATTCCCAGGAAAGACAGAAAAGGTTCAGATTATAGCAGAGAGCTTTTTCATTGTGGTTTTTTTTTTTTTTTTTTTAATCGCCCCCAGTTATTTTTGGTAGCTTGACTTTTTTCTTCTTCTTTTGTGAATTTTCTCAGTGGATAACCAGGCCATGCTGCACTATATCAGAGATAAAACCGCTGTTCCTTACTTCTCCAATTTGGTCTGGTTCATTGGGAGCCACGTGATCGAACTTGATAATTGTGTGCAGACTGATGAGGAGTAAGTGACCGCCTTGCGGGGGGCAGTTGGGGGTGGGTGCTTCCCAGGCAGAGAGAGTAGTTAGGGGAGAATTCCATTTTCATTGAGGGAAAATAAAACACTAGCACGAAACTTCCCCACCTGTGTGTCGGCAGAATGTGGACTTCTATCCTCTGAAAGGTTCCACCCACCTTCCACATTTTATAACTGTGGAAATTTAGAAACAACTCTCATACCTCCTAGAAGGGAAGAGGGTCACTAAAATCAGCGCACCCATATATGAGGTGCCAGGCAGCTGGTAAGAAGAGTAAGATGATCCGCCACCTGGTGAGCAGATAAACAAAATGGGGCGTTTGCATACAGTGGGATAATACTGGGCAGTAAAAGGAAAGGAAGTGCTCACACATGGCATGCCATGCTTGGACCTTGAGAGCATGATGCTCAGTGAAGGAAGCCAGATGCAAAGGACCACACTCTGTGTGACCCCATTGATACGAAATGCCCAGAACAGGCAGGTCTGGAGAGACTGAGCATAGACTAGTGGTTTCCCAAGATGGAGGAGGGGGTGTGTTGAGGGGAAATGGGATTATAGGGCTGTTTTGGGAGGAGGGGTTAAAAATGTTCTAAAGTGGATCGGGAGGACAGTTGGACAACTCTGCAAATGTACTAACAACCATTAAATTGTACACTTGAAATGGGAGAAGGGAATGGGATGGGAATTATATCTCTGTAAATCAGTTAAAAACAAACAAACAAACAAAACGACAGATTAATATGGTGATTTGGGCCCCAGAATGATGAATACAAGTCCCAGAGCAAGATTCCTCCAAGTCAGTACTATTGATCTTTGGAACTAGGGAATCCTGGGTTCTGGGGGGGCCGTCCTGTGCACTGTAGGATGTTTGGCAGCATCCCTGGTCTCCACCCACAAGATGCCAGCAGTGCCCCTTTTCTAGTTGTTTCAACCAAAAACGTCCCCAGACATTGCCAGATGTCTCCTTTGAGGCAAAATCGCCATCTGTGGAGAACTACTGCCCCAGAGTGACAGCTTAGCGGAGCCCTGGAGAGAGGCTCACCTAGGCGGGCTCGGGACGATAAGGGGATCCAGGAAGGAGGTCTCTTGGGGGACAGGGCTCAAGCCATAGAATATAAGCCCCAATACTGGGAAAGAAGTGGGGATAGGTGGGTGGCAGATCCGACAGGGCATTTGGGAAAACCAGGACCTTTATGGAGATGAGTAGTTACGGATGTAACACATAATGTGGCACTTGATTCCAGAAAAGACAAAAAGTTATTCCAGGAAGGAAGTGGACGACTCATCCTCTGCGTGGCCCTACGGTGAATGGTCCTGATGATGTCAACACCACTTGTTGATGACCTGAGGGGGAGGGGCGGAGGGAACGATAAGGGTTCCGTCATACCAGGAGGTCATTACACGATATCTAAAATGGCTCAAAATAGATGACCTTGAAGATTTTCTAGAGGTGTGGGGAGAACTATCCACAGAAACAACTCGAAAGTTAAAACCTGCCTTCTCTGGAGAGACTGGGCCAGAGCTGCTGTATTTTATCATCAGCTTATCAATACCCTTTAACTTTTAAACCCATCTGCATATATTTTTTTAAACTAAAGGTTTAAAAAGTGAAGTGTGTTAACTATCTTGCTGAAGAAAAATTCCCACAGTATCTTATTAAATGGGAGAAAAGGTTGCAAAACAGTAAATAAATGTTCTAAGTCTCGGCTGGATGGTGGGCCCATAGGTACTCCTCATACTGTTAACCTTTACAACATGTATTTGCTATGTATATTCGTTAAATAGCTTATTAGAGTACAATAAGAATTATTAAAAATTATGTGAAAGAAACATCAATCCTATTTTTACTTTTTTTTTTTTTTTAAGGCACGTATGGTTAGATGGATAGATACATAATACCTGCGTTTAGATGTGATTATAAAGGGACATAGAAATGGGAATAGGAAAACAGACTGTAGGGTCGCAAGTCCCAAAATGTTATCGCTTAGTGGTTGGACTACAGGAGACCTTGATGTCTTTTGCTTTTTCTTCTTCAATTTCCCGTTTTCTGAAATGACCATCTATTACTTGAGTAATAATTATAATACAAACAAAATGTCTTACCACAGCTACATTGCTCCTTGCAACAGATCCACTTTAGGAGTAGTGAAAGTGTACCACTAGCTGTTTTTGGGGTTCAGTCCTTGGCAAGTGTAAGACTGATGACCCATGGGGCCCAAGGAGCAGGCTTGTTGCTTTACTGGAAGGAGACAGAGACCTCTGGGCCTGGGGTCGAGTATCACCTCCTTGTGCTGTGCCCCCCATATGGTCAGGGCCAGGGAGTTGGATGTGGTTGCTGAGGACTGCTTTTCTTTTTGGAACTCCTCTGGAGCATTTTAATTAGCAAGGATTTATTGCTCCATTAATACTCCTTATCTTGGGAGGCGGGGGATCTTGCCACATTGACTAGCGGCTACTCTTGTGGAATGGCTTGCTAAGGGAGCTGGATTTTGCTTTATTTACCCATTTTGTTTTGGGCTGTGGTGGTGGGGGTGGGGGAGTTGTAGTGAGGCCCCCAGAGGTTAGGGGGTACCCCAGGAGTCCCCTACAATGGATTGCGGTACACCTGCCCATTTTCCCTTTGTGTATGCCAGCAGTAGGGCCAGTATAAGTGTCCCTTGAGCCTGTTTGTTGTGTGAATATTTGTTGTATGAATGAAACATTCCATCTGACCCAAGTCCTAGGCCAAGGCCCAAAGGCTCTGTGCTTTGGCTTCCAGGCTAAGGCTGTCCTTTTTCTTGGCAGACACCGGAATCGGGGGAAACTGAGTGACCTGGTGGCCGAGCACCTGGACCACCTGCACTATCTCAATGACATCCTGATCATCAACTGTGAGTTCCTCAACGATGTGCTCACAGACCATCTGCTCAACAGGCTCTTCCTGCCCCTCTACGTATACTCACTGGAGAACCAGGACAAGGTGGGTTTGGGGGCCTGGGCCCACCATGCCTGCGGGCTGAAGGCAGTCTTCAGAAGGGGGAAGAACAGTCCCCTTGAAGAGGACCAAGCTTTGCAAGGGACCAGGGCTTCGAGCCTGAGAGAGATGCCTTTCAAAAGCACACTGGTTTTCTTTTCCTTTCCTTTTATTTCCTGGGGGAGGAGGGGTAGGTGGAGAGAGGGAAGGCTGAGAGGGAGTGTGTGTGTGTGTGTGTGTGTTGGGGGGGGCAGCTATAAAAGTAAATGGGAAAAGAACAGGACACCAGAAGGAAACAGGAAACCTCTATGAATTTAGGTTTTTGGTTTCTGTGCATCCTACTCTTGAGGTATTCTCATTCCTGGTAACTTTTTCTTTTTCTTTTTTTTTTTTTTAAAGATTTTATTTATTTATTTGACAGAGAGAGACAGCGAGAGAGGGAACACAAGCAGGGGGAGTGGGAGAGGGAGAAGTAGGCTCCCCGCAGAGCAGGGAGCCCGATGTGGGACTCAGTCCCAGGACCCTGGGATCATGACCTGAGCTGAAGGCAGTCGCTTAACCAACTGAGCCACCCAGGCGCCCCTGGTAACTTTTTCTGATAGTCGCCAGAGTGACTTGATTTGCAGAAGATCCAGTCAGCTGCAGAACTTGCACAGAATGGATGGGAAGGGTTGGAGCGCACTTCGGAAAAGATCCCAGAGCAGTGACTGTCCACATTTAGGCTCAGAATCCTGTGTGGGTATTGAAATGCACGTCCTCGGGGGCCCACTCTCTGTCTCAGATTCTGGCTCCGTGGATCTGTAGTGGACCTGCAGTCTGCATCTTTAACCTGTCCCCCAGGTGGCTTTGAGCTGGCCGTTCTCAGATCCTATCATGAGAATTTCTGCCCAGTCCTTCCCAGAGTTAAGGGGCAGAGACCTCAGCAGGAGGCAGGATGGAGCCAGTTGGTTACTGTGCAGGGGCTCTAGCCTCTGCGGATGTGCCCCAGGGGGTTGTAGCTTTCTTTTTGGAGATGGAACATGGAGATTCTTTCTAAAAACCAGTAAATAGAAGAAAATTGCAGCCATAACTAGATCTATCAGTGGCAGCTCTGGGAGGCAGAGAAAGCATGGGACTTGGAGTTTTCAGACCTGGGTTCAAATTCTGCTTCTTCCCTTTCCTCACTCTGTGGCCTTGGCCAAGGCAGCTAACCTACCTGAACCAAAGCAGGGTCTTGAAGATCCTCACAGGGTTGATGTAGGATGGAGCACGTTGAAGTTCAGTACAAACGAGGGACTTTTCCAAGGCCAGAGTGCCCCAACCCCTCCTTGTCCCATTTCGAAAGCTCTTCCTGAAAAGAGGCCTCTCCTGTGGGGCAGTGGGCTCGGTGCCCCAGCTGGGGGAAATTCACATTCCTGGTAATTTAAGGAGCTAGTTCTTCTCTTGGACCCAGCTTCTAATCCGTGACTAATGGTGAAGGATTTCTCAGGTGGAAAAACAGAGGCCTGGAGAATAGTATTGGATGGGATTAGATTGTGAATTTATTTTGCAGAGTGGACTTTTAACTAGTACCAGGAAAGAACAGCCTTGGGGGTGTGGGGGACGTGGGGAACAGGCTGCCTCACCTTCAGACAGGTGGCTTTTGGCTCCATGTATTTTGTGCTGCTCACGTGTGTGACCTGGACTTCTCTCTGTCTCTTTCCCCTAACCCTCACTAGGGAGGAGAACGCCCGAAGATCAGCCTGCCGGTTTCTCTCTATCTCCTGTCGCAGGTATGGTTCATCATTTGCCTGCTTCCCCAACCACATTTGGGGGTCCTTTGGAGGACCAGGCCACATCGCCCTGTCTTCCTTCTGCGGGATCCCCCATCTTGAAGTAAAACAACAATAAAAGGAAGGGGAGGGTCTCTATTTTTCAGACACAGAGTAGAGGGGCTGGTATCTTGTTCATGGTAGTGAGTAGAAATTGAAAGAAAAATGAGAAGTAAATCAAACCTGGCACTTATGTGCTTGGTTTTTACCATGGGGACTGAGGTTTTCAAACAACCAAGGAGTGTTCTAAATACTCTGGAAATGTGGACGGCATGGGTCCTATTCACGGCATTTTGAAATAAGCCCCAAACTGCAGGACCCACTGTGTGTGTGTATGTCCCTGCAGCAGCCTTGGTTTAACAAACTTCGACTAATGAGGCTATTTTTAAAGACTTTTGTCGTGGTTGTAGTTCCCAGATCACCTTCTGGAAGGTATCTTGTAGGAGCCCATTCCCAGATTTGTGTCTTGAGCCAGTTTGTCTGCCTCCCCCTCCTTAAACAAGTGTGTTTCCTTCTTGTAATTATGTAATATTTACAAGAAGGGAAAAACTCCATGGTGACCCAGTTACATAACTTTAAAAATATTTTTTATTACAAGCAGTCCAGACTTTCAGTCCATCTCATTAGACTGTCAAGTAGTCAAACGTTTGACCAGAGTTCTGTTCCCACTTCTGCAGTGGTGCAGGTATTTATTGGCTTTGCCGAGAGAACCAAGGCCTTCTGCCCTTGGTCCCTGGGCCATTTGGAGATTGAGGCAGGGCTGAGAAGAGTTGCAGCCCCAGCCTCCCCTGGTGGCTAAGCCAGTCGGGGTCCACACGCGGCCTGCTCCTTGCTCCCCCCTCAGAGTCTTGTCCTGGGGGCTTTGTTTGCCCGGAGCTCTGCACCAGTTCCCACTCCTTCTGAATGCCCCTCTGTGCAATGGAGCTCCGTGCAAACCCCAGCCTCTCCTGGCACCCTTTTCTGCCACCTCATTACAAATCTGCCCGAGCCTCCTGCTTGGGATTCTGGGAGTCTGGCAGGACCTGAGCAGCCAGATGCTCAGCCACAGGAATCCCGTGGAAAGCACTCCCAGGACCCTGTAGCTGTTGGAGCATTGCATGGGCAGAGTCTCCTCTCAGGAGCATGGGGTCAGGCCATGCCCTTTCTCTGAGAACCCCTTTGCTCCTGTTTTCTTAGAGAAGGACTAGCAGCTCAAGCACCAAATAACTTGTCTCAGTATCTCACAAAAAGCATAGCATGCGATTTGGCATCCTCAGCTGGAGCCACAGGGCCCATCCTCCCCTGCGTTGTCAATTAGCTTTTTCATATTGATGCCCAAAATGTGTGAAAACCTCGAATCAGGTAGAAATCTCGTATCTTTTGTTCCTCCGTCAAAGCACCCTTACAAATTATGTAATGAGCACAGCTATAAAACCTAAGAAAATTCACGTTAACGATGCTAATTTAGTGTGACCGGGGATGCTGTCGTTCTAGAAATCTCCCTCTTACTCCCGTCCCCCATGCACCAGGTGCCATTGCCCAGATGCAGGAGTATTTCAGTGTCTGGCTCAGCTGCTTCTTCTTTTTTTTTTTTTTTAACAATGTTTATGTTTTTAATAAATTTTTTAAGTTAAAAAGTTCAAACAGGTGAAAACCAAGTTTCCTTTCTACTTTTGCATTGCCTGATTTCTGTCCCCAGAGACAAGTATAGTTACAGGGTTTTCCTGTGCCCTTCCAGAGACGTTGCCTGCAGAGGGTTCTTAACTGGGGGTGATTTTGCCCCCGCCCCCTCCGCCGGGATGTTTGGCAACATCTGGAGACATGTTTGTTTGGGTAGAGGCCAGAGATGCTGCCAAACATCCCACAATGCACAGACACCCCCCCCCATAAGGAATTATGGCCGCATAATAGTGCCAGGGTTTAGAAATCCTGTTCCATGTGTATGTAAGCAAATGCAAATGTGCACACACACCCTTTTTCTGTATAAATGGTGGGTATGTCCCAAGCTGTGCTACACCACTGGCATCGTCTTTATATTTTATTTTTTTATTTTTATTTTTATTATTATTTTTAAAGATTTTATTTATT